TGGTCACGGCCGACAAATGATCTTCTAGTGTCAGCCGTGGATCCAGGAGGACTCCCAGATTGCGCGCCCTCTCTGAGGGGGCCAAAAATTCGCCCCCTATAGACAGCGATGGAACCAACTGACTATGCCGGGGCGCCGGCAGCCACAGCCACTCGGTCTTGGAAGGGTTGAGTCTGAGTCTGTTCCTTCCCATCCAGTACTGTATTTCCCATCCAGTACTGTATTTCCCTGAAAATAAGACCTAACTGAAAAATAAGCCCCGGTCTTACTTTTGGAGAAACTCAATCTAGGTAAAACAGTAGTATCATAAATAAAGATATATTTTTTTAACAAAGTGGGTTATATTTCTAGCACAATATGCCTGTCACCATTTTCAGTTGGCATTACTGCTACAAGCTTTCCCAGTCATATTTAATGACTTGAAATAATGATCCATAATCTGATAAGACATTACTCTGCAGGCTGAAAAATCCGTAGCCAAGTAGTGGGATAAGGTGAGATAGGAGCTCACAGAGAGACATTATTGGATGTACTGGGGAATGTTGGTTAAGGTGCTTAGTTTTGGTTTTATTTTATTTTTTATTGTTGTTGTGAGCTACCCAAAGTTGTGTTATAGAAGATGGGCAAATATATAAACATTTTAAGTAAATAAAATAATAAATATGATTTCAGTGATATATGAGATAGAAGTCAATGTGTTTGGATGAACGTTAAGAATCATATAAAAGTAAAATACAATGGTAACTCAGACAATTAAGAAGTGGGAAACATATTCCCACTGCTGGTCTCATATACTGTTGAACTTCATTCGCTTGAACTGGTGGGAAGAAAAATGAAAAAAGAAAAACCACTCTTTTTTCCCCCATTTGTCTCTTTCTTGTTCCATCTAGTAATGGATGAATAAGATTCATAAGAGAATAAGAGAAAACAATAAACTCTCTCTGATTGAAGATACTTTCTTTAAATGATACAAAAGACTAAAGGTGAGTTGCCTGTACATGGTAGCAAAGAAAGTGAAAATATCTGAGGTATCTGTGACAAGGAGAAATTTCAACAAAATGACAAAACATGCGTTCACAATGGAGTTTGCATGCCCAACACATTGCAATATTTCCTCTAATTGACTACATCATCTAGCCATCCCCAAAGCCTAGACTGTTGGCAAAGAACTATTGGCTTCCAACATAGGCCTTATTTATTCCCAAACATTAAAAAAAAATCTCCAACCATATTAATTCTAAAGCAAAAGTAGTTTGTCATCTCATTTTAAGTATCCTTCATTTTGCAGTCTTTAGTACTCCATGTTTGCTACATAGACAGCATGTGATCTGTACATTGTTTTTAAAAGCTATTTTAAAAAGATAAAACAAAGAAAGATTTGAGCTTGCTTCTGCAAAAATTCTGTTCAGAGTTAAGTGAACATTATTGATATTTCTATTATTAGCAGAATGTTCTGTTTCTCCTGTTGAAAAAATATTATTATATGTTATCTGATGGTTAAAATAAATACTTAATAAAACTTTGTTAGTGTGTTATATATCCTTCGTGACACACACACACACACACACACACACACACACACACAGGGACTCCACAGAATCTGAAAACAGCTCTTACCAACAATGATGGATTTAAGTTATTAACAGATCAAAAAAGATGGATGGTCTTCTGCTTTTCTTAATCTTCATCATCATCTAGATCCATTTAAAGATATGTGGTGCACTAACAAAGTTAGTTAAGGTTTCAATAAAATCAGTAAAATAATCTGCCCTGTTACACTGAGTCTGCATTGATCAATAAAATCACTTGTACTAGGAAAGTACTGTTAACCACTGACCATCCTAGCCATTAATATTATTTAACACACCCCTCACAAACTTTAATGAGGATAAAGAACATTTTTGCTCTTCACACATAAGATAAGATAACCTTTATTGTCATTTTTATACTGTGGGCACAATGGCACACATCAAAAATGAAATTTAGTTGCCCACTTTCCAGAGATCTGTATAAACATAACACAAAAGTGATCATTTAAAACTAATCAGGATTTCATAGGAAGAAGGACACTGAATAATTTCCGCTAGGTTTTCTGTGTGGTTAATAGATGTCTTCAGTGACTTTCTTAAAAAAAAAAAAAGATAAAACTGAGGTGAAATATATTTGCATATATTCTGGGTGAATTTCTATAGTTTACATCATCAGTAAGAGAAAAAGGAAAGGAAAATAAAAGCTTTCTTCAGATCCTTGAAGCACTGACCATGACTGATAGGATTATTATTATTTTCCTCCAGGAGTAAGAAAATTCTTGAATAAATGCTGAACACAAGTGAAAAGATGGGGGAGTGTGAATTTTCATACTGTATTTATCCAAAACAGTGCCAAGCTAGTATCTTTCTAGATTTGAATCTGCGACTTGTAGCCAATATGTACCACTCTGATCCCAATAGACTACTTTTCATTGTATTTTAAGTTTTGCTTTACCTACTGTGTTGGTACAGGCAGGATTTCGAAGAGGCAGAGGAACTAGAAATCAAATTGCCAACATACGCTGGATCATGGAGAAAGCTAGGGAGTTCCAGAAAAACATCTACTTCTGCTTCATTGACTATGCTAAAGCCTTTGATTGTGTGGATCACAACAAATTGTGGCAAGTTCTTAAAGAGATGGGAGTACCAGATCATCTTATTTGTCTCTTGAGAAACCTATATGTGGGTCAAACAGCAACAGTGACACGGAACCACTGATTGGTTCAAAATTGGGAAAGGAGTCCGGAAGGATGCTGTCGATCAGCAGACTACAATGGTGTCAGTTTGACAATTTACAGATCTTAATATCCCCACATAAATGACATTCAACACAAGATCATTAGACACATGCACATGGCATGATATATATATGTCGTTTGCTCCCCTACAGATACCATGCCCTAACGACTTTTCATTGCTCACTACAGACTGCAAAGAAGTTCTTCTGTTCTTTAGATGCTCTGTCCAAGTTTTTAGATTGTAAAATCACAAAAACTGAGATATCTACTATCCAAGAATAGAAGGCAGCAAGAAAGATGAACTAGAAGAATGCTTTCCTTCTATACTATTTCCTCAAGCACCTCCAGTTTGTGTACATGTTAAACAGATCATTTTAATTTTAATGTTACAATGGATAAAGAGTATTAAATACATGTAAACAGTAGTGTGATTCAAATATATGAACAACCGGTTCTCTGTGTGGATGCTGCTTCTGGAAGTCTATTCTGGGCCTGGGCAATAAAAAATTAGCTACTGGTTCTGCCGAAGTGGTGAAAACCAGCTGAATCCCACCACTGCATGTAGAACAATGATATTAACCTGTCCTGAATCAATGCTATTTCTTTAAATCAAGTTTAAATTTTCTCTTTGCCATAACCATGTCTTTGTCCTTTGCAAATGCCAATTAGAACTGCCTTTAAAACAATATATTTATACAAAGATCACATATAAATACTTTAGATACACATAAAGCAAATAATATATTGCTAGAGTGGTTATATGTAAAGTAAGAGCAGACTTCAATGATCACTTTTAAGTACAGCTTAAAGCAGCTGGCATTCAAACTCCTAATATAGCTTGTGAGAAAAGATTCTTACCTGTAAATAAGATTCTAATCCCTGCCGACGCTGTTCCAAAACTTTGGGTACCCAGTTCCTCACATGCTTTGAAGGGATTTCTGGAGTTCTTATGAATTTTTTAAGCTAAAAAATATGAGCAAATAAATAAACTCTCCGATCAATATAACAGATTCTTTAAAAATAAAAACTTACAAAAAGAGAAATAAACAAATTGGGAAAGAAGACAAAAAAAATCAATAAACTAAGCGTTGTTATGAAAAACCTCTATGACTGTAAGTGGGTTTATTCAATTACAAAAGGTATTGGTACTGCAAATTTAAAATAAACACTTGTAACAGCTAACAGATTGGGCAATTTCTTAAGTTGGGACTAAACATTTTGTCAGCTAAATAATAACTAACCAATGTACAACTCTAATACAACTCTAAAGAATGGAGTTTAACTCCTATTTTAGCATGCACTCTTGAGCATTAAGTTTAAAAACAAACCTTGAAACTATTATACGGTCAAAATGAAATTTGTTTTTTTTTCTCTTGCAAGATGGGTGGTTTAGAAAATAGCAAATACAGACAAATGGTTTGGTTTTGAGAGAATAGCTTAGGGCAATAAATTCATAAACTGAAAAATAAGGAGCAGAACAAAATAAATTGAATGAATTAAGTCTCAGAGATTATAGGGCAAGGCAGACTGATTGGCATCAATATGAATGAGTATATGTATTATTGTTCTCCTTTTTTGGTAGTGGAAATTATCTCAATGAACAATTGTGACTTTCCATTCAGGCTTCTTAATTTGACAGAATTCAAAGTAGCTGACAAGAATATAAAAGTAAAAAACCTACGAATTCATTTATTGCATAAATTATGTGTACAGATTTCAAGTTCAAATGACAATCAAAATCATTATCCAATATTCAAAGTGTGCGTTTCCAAAATTTGCCAAGGTTGACACATATAGATTAGAGACAAATTATATTAATTTCAAAACAAAAATCACTTTTAACCAACATGCGATATAGTCTTACTTTCCAATGTTCTGAGTAGTATTTAAATTTATTTTTGTAATGAAGCAACAAGGAATCTGCTTATTCTCTGAGATCTTCTAATGACACAAGTGTTGGAAAATCTACAACATGGGTGTTCAACAATACCCAACAATTACTCAAAAGCACATCCCATTCTTTTATGATTTTTCAGAGGCTGTGGATGGGTATGCTCTTGTACAATTTCTGGATGTCATGCAAGAGGGCTGTGCTCTTGCATGACTCTGGAGCTTGTGTAAATCCTGCAAGAATGGGATTGCTTTCATTTGGTTTTGGAGGCTGCAGAGGCTGTGAAAGGGCATTCTCTAAAGACACTTCAAAAACAAAAGCTTTGTGTTACCTGAAGCTGCCTTGGGCAAGCTGCAGGGGCCTATCAACGGAAAGAGAACGTAAGTGGCAAGCAGCAGATCCTAGGGAGCACTGTGCTGTGGGGCAATCACACAGGTGCAAGGTGGCATCAGTGTGGTAGGGCTGAAGTTGAGGCCTGGCATGCTAAAGTCCTAGAACAGAGGTCTCCAACCTTTTGGGCACCAGGGACCGGTTACATGGAGAGAGGTTTTTCCACGGAGGGGGTGTGGTTTTGTGTGCTGCCTGCATCCCGTGAATGGGGTTTTGCTTGCTTGTGCGGCTCGGTTGCTGGCATGCCACGGAACAGCCTAGAAGGCTGAAGTTGAGGTCTCCTCTACTTTAGGCCCAGCCTCAGTGCTACCGCAGACTGACACTGTTCAGTGAGATCTAGATGAGGGGGAGATAATTATTTTTTCTCTCTGTGTGTGTATGCATGTGCATATGCGACATACCAGCAGGTATTTGCTGAATTTTTGACACGTCAAACCCAAAAGATTTGCCATCACTGTGCTAGGACCATAAGATCTGGCCTGCAAAATTGTGGACAACTGCTAGACAGCAGCAAAGAATAACAGAAAACTTTAATGCTTGCCATCTAGTGGTTGTCCACATTTCTACAGCTTTTATATAGTATATAGTTCTACTGTGCATCTCAAAGTGAAAAAGTTATGATTGGCTTAAGTATGAAAGAATCTTCTACAATTACTAAAGTATGGCTTTCTTTTGACTGATTTATAGACAAATAGGTAATCAATTCCTGTCCACAATTTATTTATGTTTTTAAAATGGAAAAGTAGGATATAAATTTTAGCAAAATCAATTCCTCTCCAAAAAAAACTGTAAGGGATCTGGTGATTGTGGCATATCTGGACAGTTTTGGCTATTAAGTGCCCTTGGATAAGCTACTATTTTACTGTAGATGAGAGACCTACACTTCCTTGTCTCATTAGCAAGAATAATACCTATATATCAGGATTCCAATAAAGGGTAGCCTATAAAGTAACATTAAATCATTTTACATACAAAACAGGCTGCATTAGAAATAAAAATTAAAGTAAAAAGAAAGATAACAAATATAGTTTACCTATAGTTGAAATGAGAAGTACTCTCCAAGTATTTTATCAATTCAAAAATTGTGTGAAGGAGTGGAGATCAAAAGTCAAAAGGACATTCAAACTCCAATTTGACTTTGACATGTAATGCCCACAGGGGTAGAGTAATTTACATTTCATCTTTCATCTTGAGGAGATGTCATCTGACTAAAAGCTGTGTCAACAAATGTTTCAAGGCAGATTTGAATATTCCCCCCCCCCCAAAAAAAAAGAGAGAGAGAGAGAGAGAGACAGAGACAGAGACAGAGAGAGACAGAGAGAGAGAGAGAGAGAGAGAGAGAGAGAGAGAGAGAAAGAGAAAGCTACTGTTCAGGAAGGAGTTCACGATTTATAGTTGCTCATTTAAACCAGACTTCCATAATCTGGTGGTGTTTCTACAACTACTATTTCTGATAGGCATGTGAAAAGCTCCAATATGATCCAATGTTCTGATAAACTTAAGCAGATCTGAATTTGTTAAAGATCATGACTGAGTCACAATGATAGCATAGCCAACCTATGTCTCTCTTTAAATATGGAAATTGGTGATTCATATAGGGAAAGCCTACAATTTCCTGGCATGGATTTTAGTTCTTCTGGATTTCAGCTTTAAATGGGATAGTAAGTTAGCAATATATTTTTGAAACCACAATGCTACAAATGCTGAACAAATCAATCATAATACATGACAGTAACCAAAATTTAAGTTTAAATAATTAAATATATTTTAATCTCACAACTTAAGCCACATAGACCCAACAGCTTTACTATGCTTCCCTGCCATCCTGGAGCTGGTAAGAAATCACATGAATTTAAATCTTGCTGCCATCATGTGCATCTTTGCTGAGTTTCCAAAATGCGTCTGTGATTGCTGTCGCCCATACTGTTTTAATGTGCAACTTTCTAAAGGACATGATTTAAGGACTTCCATGTTTCGATGGTCAACCAGTTGACCAACTCACATAAAAAAGAAAAAAAATCTGCAGAAATGATAGTTCCATTCTTCCTGGTAACCAAGAGAGAAATGAGGAGTCGATAAAAGTAAGATCAAAGGGGATAATTCCACAGGAAACCTGCAGGAACAACTGGAGCCAAGAAATTGCTGGCATGGAATAATTCAGACACATCAGCATGCCCTGCATTTGTTGGATACATCATCTTGTCATGGGATATTAAGGAAAACACCTCTTCTGATATGCACTTTAAGTTACCTCAGCTGCGAGAGAACATTGTAACGTAAGCAAACGCGTGTAGGCATGTCCGCAGAAAGCAGATAGTGAGCCATCATTGCATCAGAGCAAGCAGGAAGTGTGGACTTGTCTTCAAGTTAGGATAAAACATTGTTCAAAATTAATAGCAAACCAAAGTAGATAAACAGAAATAAAACCTGACGTGAGAACTCCCATTCTGCCTAGAAAAACTGGATATGATCAGTGAGCATAAAATAATGGCTGCTGAAGAAGAAAGAAGGGGATTAAAATGATATCTCCCTAAACTACATGCAGGGTTTTGCTGCACATCCCACTTTGTAAAGCAATGTTTGGAAAATCTGAGGTTGTCACATTGGCTGCAGGAGGGAACCTCAAATGGCTGGCTCAAGATCAATGCTTCTACCCAGTACAGTTTGAAAAAGTGGCATGGCACTGAGGGCAGCTCCTACCTCTACCTAGCCTTTCCCTCTGAAAAAAGAGGTAGATAAGAGTTGGATTTTTCCTCAAAAAGACTGGGAGCACCAGCTCCCAATTACTGAAATTTACATTTTTTTCTTTTCTATTTGTTTGCCCTTTGCTTGATCATCTAGTACAGTGGTTCTCAACCTGTGGGTCGGGACCCCATTTGGGGTCGATCGACCATTTCATGGGGGTTGCCAAGCAAGGCTGTGCGCCATTTTTTTTGTCCGCCATTTTTTTTGTCCGCCATTTTTCCCCCCTTTTCCGGCGGGTGCCTTGGGCTGGGCCAGCTGGTGGTCGGCCTGCTCCATCTCTGCCGCTTGCCAGCTATGCCTCGGCTGGTGCAGGGGGCGGAACCACGCATGCGTGGCGCTCCCGGGCAGGGAAAGTCCTCGACTTACGACCAGTTGAGTAGTCCTCAACTTACGACCGGTTTAGTCCTCAACTTACGACCGGTTGGGGTCGCAGCATTAAAAAGGTTGAGAACCACTGATCTAGTAGTAATGAATGCAGAGAGAACTAACACCCCCCCCAAAAAAAAGATGGTAAAAAAGACCCCCAAAAAATAGTCCAACTACCACCCAGCTTTGGCTCAGGGCCTGAACTGAATTTTATCTGGGTCGATGGGCCTCTATATAAAAAAAGTAGTACCCCATGCTTGATCTGAAGAGAATGGAATGCCTTACTTTCTCTGTGCAGAAAAAGTATTTGTTTTTTAATCCAACCTACTTACTTACCTACCTACCTATCTCTAATTGTTCAACAGTGGACAGTATTGCAAGTAAAATAAAACTTCCTTATCATATTCAGAAATCAAATGAAGTTATTACTTGGGAATGAATGGAAATAGGCTACAGATAGTATTACCTGAACAATTTGTACACTATACTTACTTTTTTATGGAGAGCATGAAATTCACTATATCTTTTTTCAACAAAATGCTTTCTTCCATTCATTAGTACCTCTATCTTAAAGACCTGTGAAAATAAAAGATTACTTTTATATATTTCCTGATATGTTTGCTTTGTGATCGATTTCTTTGCTTTAATTACTGTAGCCAATCTTTTCTACCTCTCAAAACCCCACGACACTCAGGAGATACCAGGATGCAACATTGATTAACGAGCACTCTGATGCCTTTAACCAAGTGTTTCTTTAAATCCATCTAAGGATTAAAATGTCTAATGCCTAAAAAGCCTTTTTTTATTACACCACTCTTATTCCTAGACATTACCGTATCTGCATTTTGCAACTGAATATCCATAAATATATTTTATCCCACAGGCAATGCGGTGATGGAATTTTATTTTAAAAATGCAAAATAACTGAGAAACAATTGTGCTTTTTCCGATCACATATTACATACAGTACATTCACAATATACAGTGATAGGTATCCCGTAGGCTACTCTACTTTTTTGTATCTTTACTGCATGAGATATAAATACAAAGACTACATTATAGGTTAATTTCTGCCCTAACCTATATACTCATGTTTAGTCTCAGCTGGACTTTTTTTTAGTGTTTAAACTACTTTAAAAAATGTGGTGCTGACTTGTTTTCTTAGCATGATGAGTATGACAGCTTTGGATGCTGTCTGTACAAGGTTGAAAGGCCAGATGAAGCAGCTCTGTAGATCCACTAATTAGTAGCCACTAACATGACATTTTCTTGATTTTCAGGTCATTGGGTCAAATCTTTAGGGCAGGTGACAAAAAATATCTCACAATGCTTATGAAAACACAACCTAGTGAAACCAAGATCAGAAAATTGCATAATAAGACAATCTATTTACAATGAGTAAATATTCTTATCTTCAGAAAAAAAGAAAAATAGATTGAGAGAGTGGATAATATATACAGGAGATTTCTAAGTCTAAAACTGTGTTAAGCATACCTTCTTTTTGTGACATGATTTTGTGGAATAATGTTAGATAGGACATTTTCCAAAAAAGAGAACTATGTAACTTTGTCTGTTACAGTTATCTAAGCTTTTTGTGGATAAAACCACATTTACTTAGAAATGGAAGCCAGCTGAGAGATTGACAGTTACTTGGAATGTATTCAAGCTTGTTGTCTCAAGGAAGTGGACAAGACTTCCCCCAAGGTTGCCTCCATCATTTGTGGATGTGATCGTTGTTCTGCATGACTAATATTTCTAACACAATTTCAGTAATAAGATAGGGAACAATTGTAAAAGAGTATCTATATTTCAAGAACTTTCAAAAGAATGAATTTTGGTGAAATGTATTTATGTGAAAATTTGCAAGTTTATTTTGTTTCTAAATAATTTAATATCTATACCAAATTAGGTTTACACAATGCACTAAGCTGTAATATGGTTTGATTTTAGCTTGGTGCATTCTATAAATCCAGCCCAATTTGTAAATCACGGTTTATGATTTAACACTATTGATGAATCCAGACAGAAAACACATTCAACAAACACAACATATCAATTATGGGTGAACTGGAACAACAAAGTTATCTAGGTAGTACAGTGGTAACTAGGTGGCATCAATTGATCATTAGTAAATGAAAGTTCAGAGCAGGCTGGTTTTCTTTATATAGTATGGCTTTTGAATCTAGTAAGTAAGATATAGTAAACCTTTTTTGAGGCAATGGGGATGAAAAACTCTTATCAAAGTTCAGGATCAATGGTCAAAGTTCATAAACATTTTTTAAGTTGGAAAATAATTTTGGATTTCCATATTGTATGTGTGGTTTGAAACTTCTGTATGTCAGGGATTGTTTTCTTGAATAGATATGGCTTAATACTATTACCCATATGTTACTAAATTCTATATCTGAGGTATTTTACTTTTCAAAATCCCCCTTTCATAACTGTAAACTAATTGCATTCAGCTTGTAGAGTTCATATGCTGTACAGTACAGAGACATAATACAGTTTATTTGGCTTTAGTTTAATGTGTTGTGTGAATCTAATAATCATAATTAGTTAACTATAAATTATAATTTAGTATGTTGTATAAATCTAGTCAATTGTGGTTTCTTTAAAAACCCAGGAGTAAAACAAACCATGGCTTACTGTGATATATGAACATTGTTTCTCTTCTTAACAGATTAGCTATCAGCAACAATACAATTTGTTTTTCAACAGACATTACATCTTTATTGTAATTTTATTATTCTAATTCTTCAAATTTGAGGTATGTTGCTAAGAACAGTTAAAATTAGCTTTAGGATATTCAAAATTCTTAAAATACTGGTCATGCTGAAAACTTCTTACTTCAAGAGTCTTAAGAATTTGCCACATGACAAATGCATACATCAAATCATAGCATGTTCAATTACCGGGACCTTGAAAAAATGCTTATGCATAAGATCCAGCAGTTGTAATAAAATCACATTGTGTTGAGCTTTTTGCAAATGAAATTTTATATATGGAAGATCTGTACCAAAAAGGAAATGTTTCTATTCTTGAACAAGCATACACAATTTTATAAATACAACATATGGATCGCTGTTAAACTATAGATTGCAGAAACTATTTGCCCAAAAGACAAAATAGTTTATTGTAATTTCAGTAAATTATAAAGTACTATTTAGTTCTTTAAGAATGATACGAGAAGTGGAAGGAAATCTCACACTAAGAAATATCAGACATGATTATTTTTGTATTTATGATATTCCTCTATTCCAAAACAATTGAAATTAATGTTACAAATTGATGCCATGGATCTAAGTCTGTAATGTTCACATAATCATTAATTGTTTAATAGAAATAATTTGATTTAACAAAAACTGCAGGTTGCTTTTATCTTATGAGGCGTACAAATTATTTCTCTCCCATATATTATCATATGAATGCACAATAGAATTAAATTCTGTTAGAACATTCATACATTTTCTGATCTATAATGAGAATTGGGTTTGCTCCTTACATGTTCACGATCATCTCTGAAAAAAAAGAATATCCATATAGCGCTGCATAAAGACTAAGACTAACCCATAACCACTTCTATTTTACATTTTTTGAACAAAAAAAGCTAATGTATAGATTTAATATGCACATCCTCATTAAAGTAATAACTTGAGAACTGGGACTATGGAGATTTGGTTCGCACAATGCACCAAGTTCTTACAGAATAAACTACATTTGTTTAAATTCTCAGGACACACTAAGCCAAAATTTAAAGAAGACATTTTATGATTCATATGTTTCTTGTGTTATTTTCAATCTAAGCAGTCTGTTAGGAAGGAGTGAAATATTTTCCCACTGTACTAAAACTATTTTTTTCCTCCTTAAATCTGTTTTTTATAACTTTTCTTCCCAAGAAAAATCACAGCTTGTGGCAGAACTTTTCATACAGATCATGGCAAAGAAAATCTATTAACAACAAACACATACAAATGTATCTTTCAAACCACATTTCCTTCTCCATCAATGTGTGTAACCTTAAAGCTGGGGGCGGAATTTATCATGGATATGAACACATTTAACCTATTATATAATTTGGCTCTTTTAGCAAAGAATAAAGAACTTCAATTACTACATTCTGCCTTTTAAAGGTATAATTCGTAAATGCAGCAGATAGAACAGATTATATTTATAACTCTTTGGCAGTCAAATGAAGGTTCTTTCTCTTTCCCACAATAAAAGTGCATTCAGTTCTCAAAACTTTTTTCCTACATGGAGCCAATAGTTGATAGGGAAAATAATTACCCATTTAACTTATATAAATGAAGAACAGAGAGAGTGTGAAGACTTACACTTTTCTCAGATTAACATGCCTAAAATAGGGCATTTTATCTCATAACTATCAAAAGATGGAGAAGACATGCTGAGACCTATTAAAGTTCTATTTGAAAAATTCTTTGTGACAAATCATAGCAAAGTTCTTTATAGGTTTCGATAAATATATTTAACTTGTCTTCATTTAAAGAGAAAATTTAACACAGAATAGTAAATCATTGTCTGATTACCCATGGTAATAAATATATTATAAACCATTATAATAAATACATTATAAACAATAGCAAGTTTGGAAAGCAATCTATTTCCCAACACTTTAGTACAAAACAACATTCCCAATTTTTTAAGGTCCTGTTTGGAGTTAAGGCCAAAGAAAGAAGAAGAATATTACCTTAAACTAGGATTTAGTGGTAAATCTATAATCTATAGATTATATATATCTATAATCTGAGAAAAATCATAAGCTTTTATAGTCCATCTTTCTTTTGCTGTCTCTACATATCTTGGAGCAGTAGTTAACAGGATTCAGTTTTTATTTTTACAGTTTCTAGCTTGTTATTGAACCAAAAAATCATCATTTAAAACTTGCCAACAATTTAAATGCATCCAGCCAAATGATGCAAATATTGAAAGTTATTTGAAGCAAAACCTTCAGCACAGGGGAGCAACTCTGAGCTTCCATTTGTATATATAGCTTAAAATACTTTCAAGCTGAACACCTGTAACTTGGATCTATGCAATCTTCTGGGAGAGCTACAGAAATTATTTATCCCTGCTTTTTTCTGGATTTTCCTCTCTAATTCCTATTCTAAAAATCAGTTCTGCATATAATATTGACCAGTAAATCAGACTTGATCTTACTCATGTCTGACACTGGCCAAATGGAGGAGGGCTATTTCTTGTGCAGAACTCCTGTACTGGAATCATAATTTTATTTTAAAAAGATGTCTGTGTATGGGGATTTTAAGTGTCAAAATAATGAAAGAAATACTAGGTGTACAGTTATGGAAATAGGCTGAAATTCTTAAATATATACTTTGTGTTCTATATACAGTACAAACATATTGAAATTTTTAAAAAAATGAAAACAAATTTGAATTTCAAACTTAAATAAAAAGAACAACAAAAAAGTATCAGTAGAGATGTACCCAATGTATCAAGCAATTAGATATTTACAAATGAACTTTACTCAACTTTAGTACATCTTGGCTGAATACTAATGAAGTTAATCTGCATTTTTATTGGCCACCTGTATCCATTGCCTATCACCACAACTAATTCCCTTTAGACCAAAATTTCTCATGGACACTTAGTGCTCCAGCTCAACACATTTTATACAATAAAAACTGAAG